TACAAATGGTTTAGTCTATTAGCTCAGGCTTATTATTAACTAACGCTTACATTTAAATCAACCCATTTTTAATAGTTTATATTTTTACCATGAGGCTCGTGGCTTGTTACTTCATGAATATTGCTTCTCCAGTGGCTGCTGGAGTCTCCCTGACTTTGCCTTCCTTTTCCCTGTATCTCTGCTTGGCTTTCCCACCTAGCTAAATTCTGCCCTGCCATAGTCCAAGGCAGGTTCTTTATTAGCCAATGGTAATAAAACATATTCACAGTATACAGAGGGGTCTCCCACATGACTAATCATACATTATCCAGTTGTCACACACACTTGTGATCTAATCAGCTGGGAGGTAGAGGATTGTGAGTATAAGGTAATCCTCAAAATCACAGCAAATTTGAGGCAAGCCTGGGCTATGTGAGAGCTCCTTTCAAAAAACAAAGGACCTGGCAGTATTGTTGTCCAGGCTGACCTTGAGTTTACTGTGTAGGCTGGTCTCAAACTTCTAATCTTCCAGACTGTGCTCTCTGAATGCTGGGTTTACATGTGTGTACCATCATGCCTGACTAATTTTAAAATCCCTAATCATGGTATAAGTTTTATACAGTAAAGTAAGCTCAATGCATTTAAAAACACATAAATGGATGCACACACTCACACACACACGAACACACACGAACACCCCCCCCCCCCTCCACACACACACACTGCTATCAACCTTCTCGACCCTATAGCTCATCTCCTGATGTCTAGCAGGTTCTTATTCACTTCTGTCCTACTTGATGTAGAATTCACAACATACACCAGCTTGGCCTCAAACTTGTGTTCGTCTTCTTACTTCTGCCTTACCGAGTGGAGGGACTGCATGTGATGTTAAGTTGTTTATTAATTGTGCCTCTTTTTAGTTCTCAATACTGAGGGTCAAGCCCAGGGCCTTATGTACAATGGGAGCCAGCTCATACTCCACCACAGAGCTATAATTTTATTCTCTTCTTCTTTTTGAAACAGGGTCCCAGCTTGCTAAGTTGCCTAGGCTGACTTTGAACTACCCCAGGTGGGTCTTTATCTTCCTATCTGTAATTAGCCTCCTGGGTAATTACACATGTGGCGTTCCACGGGACAATTTCAGGGGTTCTGTTCTTTTCACCTTTCTTTATGTAGTTTCCAGAGATGAAACTCAAGTTTTTAGGCTTGGCAGAAAGTGTTCATACCTGCGGAACCATATCTTCAGTCCCATTTCTTCCTATTCTCCAACATCAGATAAATAAGACTGAAGAGACATTAGTCTGCTTCTGCCTTCTGATGCTCCTTATCAGGCTTTGTGAGGTCAATCTACACTGTGCTACACGCATATTGGTAGAAGTTGAGTGTTTCTCTTGTACAGAACTGAGATGCTCAGCTTAGGAGAAACCACTAAACCCTCTTTCCCAGAGCATGCATGCACGTCACCTGGGACTCATGTTGTCAGCACCCTGTCACAGACTTGCCTAGTGAAAAGGATCAGAGATTTGTTGAAAGAAAAAGTGAGTAAAGTGGCTAAGAATGAGAAGAAATCATGCTTAACCTTGTGCCCTACCTAAATTCCATCAGTGCTTCTTCACAGTCTCTCCCTTGACCAGCATAATCCTACATTCTCAGGTACTGGTGACATTATCCTAGACCATAAGGGTTCCTCTTGCTTCCCTGTCTCCATCCTATTCCCAAGCTGGGTCCTCTAAGGTTTTTTTCTCTTTCATGGTTGTTCATTTTCTTGTGTCTGTGTCTGTTGGGGGAGGTGCACGTGTACAATGCATATATTGTATCATTGGATGTCTTCAAGATTCAGTTGCTGTACACCGTATGTATGTATGTATGTATTTAGAAACTGTCTTACTATGTAAACCTGGTTGACCCAGAACTTACAGAGATCTGCCCGCCTTTGAGTTCTGAGTATTGGAGTTAAAGGTGAGTGCCACCCTGCCCAAAGTACCACCTTATTTTTCTTTCTTTCTTTTTTTTTTTTTTGTTTTTTGTTTTTTGAGGCAGGGTTTCTCTGTGTAGCTTTGGAGCCTGTCCTGGAACTTGTTCTGTAGACCAGGCTGGTCTCAAACTCACCTGGCCTGTCTCTGCCTCCTGTGTGCTGGAACTAAAGGTGTACACCACCACAGCCCTTATTTTTCAAATTAAGTTAAATTTATTTTGTGAGCCAGGTGGTGGTTGCACACAGCTTTAATCCCAGCACCCAGGAGGCAGAGGCAGGCTGATGTCTGTGAATTTGAGGCCAGCCTGGTCTACAGAGAGAGTTCCAGGACAGGCTCTAAAACTACACAAAGAAACCCTGTCTCAAAAAACCAAATATATATATATATTTGTGTGTGTGTGTGTGTGTGTGTGTGTGTGTGTGAGAGAGAGAGAGAGAGAGAGAGAGAGAGAGAGAGAGAGAGAGAGGTGCTGGTGTGCCCTGGAGCGTTTGTGGTAGTCAGAGAAGAACCACAGAAGTCAATTCTCTTCTGCTACCTGTGGGACTGGGGTATGGAACTCAGGTTGTTACGTCTGCATGCAAGTGCCTTTGCTGAATGAGCTCTCTTACTGGCCTTCTCCAGTTTGTTTTTGAGATGGCATCTCTCCCTGGATTTCATAACTAGGTTGGCTGTCTTGTGAGCTCTAGGGATCTACCTGTCTCCATCTTTGCAGGACTAGGGTTACAGATGTGTGCTGACACATGGGTGCTTTTTGACATGCATGTTGGAGATCAGAATCCAGGTTCTCACGCTTGTGTAGCACTACCTGTGAGTTAAAACTCAAGCTCTTCCCTCCTCAGTCTCCCAAGCACTGAGATCATGGGCACCCGCCACCAGTCTTGGCTGCTTCATGGTTTTCTTATAGACTTTCTTCAGCTCAGGACACAGTTCCTATTGGAATCCCAACTCTGCTTATGTTTAGCTCAAAAGCTGTCTTCCAGCAAGTCTTATTGACTTTTACCTGAGCAAGCCTGGCCCCCTTTAGACTCTCTTTATCCCCTTTTGTTTCTGAATTTTGCAAGAGTTGTAAACACACTTTCTGTTATGAAATTATGTGATTAATATCTGCTGCCTTATCATTAAAACACTTGAAAATACAGCTCCACTCTAAGGTCTGTCAGATTTGAACATGTCTAGCTGCTAGCTTGCTAGGGCATGACCCCTGGTACACAGCAGATGGGTAACAGTGCATTGAGAATTGCCAACTGACGGTAATTATCCTTTAAAAGCTCACTCATAGAGATGGCTCTACAGGTAAAGACACTTACTGCCAAACATGATGCCTTGAGAGAGATCCCTAGAACCCTGTTTCCAAGAGAAACAACTCTCCCAGACTGTTCTCTGACCTCCACAAGTAGACATTTACAAGCATACCCCCACACAGACACACAAGGAGATAAAAAGTAATGTTACTATAATAACAACAAACAAACCCTCACTCATATTGTGGGGGACCTGGGCCAGGCAAAGAATCACAAAAAAATCCCGTGTCCTTCTTCCCTCACCAAGAACCTTGCGTCTATGGGGTCTCATGTTTATACTCAGCTCATTTTTAAATTTGCTCTAGCTGTTTGTGTGCATGCTATTGGGAATCAGGCAGACACCTAGGAAGAGGAGGAGAGAGGCTAGGCGTTGCTGGAGTCCTTCGAAAGCTTAGACTCCAGCTCTTCAGTCTCTGTATCTTAAGTAGTACTGAGGCAACATCACACAGAGGTGACCCCCAGCAGGACTGCCTTATTGCAAAGCTGGGCTCTGTTAGTCACGGCAAATGATCTTTGACAAGTTGCTTTTGCTTTCGGTTTTGGTCTCTAACCTGAAAAATAGGAAGAATATTATGTACTTCATAAGTTAATGCTTGAGTTTTAGTTTAATGTGTGTATACTGTTAAGTATTGAACCTTGAGTAACTTTCTAATCATGAATGTGAAGTAGTCTTATGGGTCTACGCTTCAGTGTCCTTGCCTCTGAGATGCTGGGTTGTTGCCAGCCCTACTTCTTGGGGTGGGAGTAGGAGCCTGTTTTGTTCATGGCTGTTTCCAGTACCTAACACATTCTCTGGTTTGTGGTCGATCCTCATAAATCATGTCTATCTTACTCCTTTATCTTTATTATTGGTTTTTTTAAATTAAAATATTTTCAAGGGGCTGGAGTGGTATAGCTTAGTTGGTAGAATGCTTGCTTTGCTGGCATGGAAGACGCCCGGGCCCTATTTTCAGCATCACATTAACTCAGTAGGCTAGGTTATCTCGAAGCAGAGGCATGGCCGGGCCTGGTGGAGCATGCCTTTAAACACAGCACTTGGGAGGCAAATGGATCTACAAATAGAGTTCCAGGACAGCCAGGGACTACACAGAGAAACCTTTCTCAAAATAATAAACAAATAAAAACCAAAGTGGAGGCAGGAGGATTAGAAGTTCAAGGCCATCTTCTACTAAGTAGCATGTTAGAGGCCAGACTTAATTATACGAGATCCTGTCTCCAAATCCCCCAAATCCCTACAAAGAAACAACATGAAAGGACTTATTTCCTGGCTGCACTCAGAGTGGGAGAATTCCCAGGGTGCTTTGCAGACTATGGGAGGAGGGGTGGCAAACAAGAGTTTAGGATGGTGAGCTCAGTGTTTAGGATACAATCAATCATAAGGCTCCGGATTCGAACGACCTCCACTTCTACTCGTTCAGAGGCCCTGAACAAGTTTCCTCACCTCTGTGAGCCTCAGTTTCCCCTTTCCTTTCTTGTGAGTTCACATCCCAGAAGGAACAAGCCTCAAATGCCGCAGCAGGGGAAAGGCTGTACAGTTAGGATCGCCTGAGATGAAGCCAGGGTGTGGAGGACCCAGCGCGGGGTTCCACGCGGCCGTGCGGGCGTTCGGAACCGGCATGGGGTGGGAGCTGCAGACGAGGCCTGCAGGCCCAGTCCGGGGAACCGAGTGGCCTTACTTGCTCCCACGCGCGGGGCGGCGCGGGGCGGGGCGGGGCGGGGCGGGGTGGGGCGGGGCTGCATCCCGGTGACGCGAGCCAACCGCGCGGCGCTGCGGCTCCTCGCTCTGCCGGCCGCCCGCATGGCGCTGCGCAGCTTCTGCAGCGCTGATGGCTCCGACCCGCTTTGGGTAGGTGGTGGGCCGCGGGGGTGGGGAGCAAGGGGTGGCCGGAAAGGTCCCGGGGACGCGGGGGACGCAGGGACGCGCGGGCCCAGCCGCTCCCCAGTCCGAGCCCCGCTCTGCAGACGCGGGAACCCGCCACTCGGGCCCGAGCGCTGTCGCCGCCGTCAGACTCTGGGGACCCGGTTCCGGGAGAGCTGGGCGTGGGCGGGGAGGGGCTTCGCGGCTTTTGGGGTTCGGCCCTCCGGTGGGGACGCAGCAAAGCGGGAGATTTGCGGTATTTTGTGGGGGTAGGATCCCCATTCACAGCACATGCCCCATCTCTGAACACCGGGCAGAAGCTCTAAAAAGGGGCTTCCTACCTCTTGTGTTGGGGATCCCCCCACCGTTTGTATTACCTCCCTGTTACTCTGATATCATGTTTTTCTCATGGTTTCCTTCCTTTCTGCCTAAATGCTACCGGAAAGGTTTAAGGAAACAGAGAGAAGGATAGGAGTTCCCTTCTGCCTCTCTTTGCGGGTTTGGGGTGCAGTGGAAGATGCCCGGGACCCTGGTTACCAGGGGAGTGCCTTCCATCCTGTGAGGCGCTGAGGCTGGGCCTTGGGTAGGTTTTGGGACTTCAGGCCCTTTCCAGATAGCTTTCTTCTGAAGTGATCCTAGGCTGGGTTCCCTGACTGATTGCTCTAATCCCCGGTGTTTGTGGATTTCGTGTCCCTGTAATGCGATTTGCCCATTGTTCCAGAACAATCGTGAATCGTGCTATTCTGATTATCTAGTAAATACAATAGGAGAGCCTGGCCACAATGATTTTCTTTTTTTCTGTTTGACAAACAGGAAAAACACCCGTTTCTTAGTCTCTGATTAGTGCCCACAAGTACGTCTTTTGGATGAGGAAGGGTGCTATTTTTGGTTGAGAAACTTACCGCGCTTGGATGTGACTCCCATTTTAAAGCCACGAGACTGAAGGTTTCCCTAGGGCTGAAAACAGTGCTAGTGATTAACATTCAGGAGTCTGCAAGAGATCGCTGCCTGTTTGCCACAGAGAAACACCTGTATGTGCTTTATTTACCCTTGTGCCATGAGTGGAGATAACAGAATTACTCTGCAAGGACCCGGTGGCATCTGGTTCAGTGGCACATGAATTCTGGTATATTTCCTGGTTTATTTTTTTCTGTTGTAGTGACTGAAAGTAGGTTGACTAGTCATTAGATTCTCTACCAGTTTGTGTATTTTTGTATATACATACATATATACATACATACATACATACACATAATATATAGATACATATTGTATGTATATGTATGAGGGTATGCATACAATGGTTCTCTCCATCATGTAGGGTCTTGAGGATTGAACTCAGGTCATATATAGCAAGCATCTTGCCAGCTCATACTAGGATGTATTTTATTGCTGGGCAGTGATGATTAAAATGTGTTTGGGGTGTTCTCTGTCTTCTAATCAGCTAAGAAGCCTACTCAAGAAACCCAGTTTTGTGTTCTTTCTTTTTAGGGACTTTTTACCACAGAAAATTAAGATAAATGAACTGTGCTTGGCAGTAATGGTGACTGGTCTTCACCTTAGGCAGGTTCCCGTCCTCCCTCTGAGAGTAAAACAGGCACACCAGGCACTGGTGCCATACACCTTTAATCCCAGTAGTTAGAATAGTTTGCCATAGAAACCAGGTGGTAGTGGTGCACACCTAGAGAGGAATATAAAACGGGAGGAGACAGTTCTCAGTCAGTCTCATTCTGAGGATTCCTGGAGGCAGAATTGCCATTTTGGACTGAGGTAGAGGTAAGAACCAGTGGCTGGCTGTTTTGCTTTTCTGACCTTCTGGTTGAACCCCAGTTGCTCTCTGAGTCATTTTTAGATATGCTACATTAGCTACTGAAGAAGCTGAGGCAGGAGAACCACAAGTTCAAGACCAACCCGGACAATTAAGCAAGATCTTGTTTCAAAATTAAATGTAAAAAAAGAACTAGAGATTTAGCTCTGTGGGTGAACACTTGCCTAGCATGTGTGAAACCCCATGCTCGATTCCCAGTACCTCCAAAACCAAACAAATAAACAAAAAAGTAAAGAAAATGAAAAGTACTAATTTCATGCTTAATTATAGAAGTATTGGAAATATTAGAAGCTGAGCACAGGACTCAGGCAGTTATGTACGTGATGACTCAGAACAAGTGCCTGTGTGCCCTACTTTCAAACCCTGGTTCTGCATCTAAGATGGGTTACTTTTCTACTCTGTACCTCAGTTTCCCCACATGTAATAATGGTGTACATAGCAAATGTCGGTAATTTGAACGCTGAATAATGAATTCTTGAAAGTGCTGGGAACAGTGCTGCTCAGTACCTGGCTAGCACTCAGTAGATGGAAGTGGAACTCTTCCATGCTTGATTTTTGCTGAGAACATCTGGACACAGAATTTTGCAGCAGGTCCGCAGTGCATGCTCTGGACTGAGTGGTTGTGGGGGCTGATTCAACCCCCTGAACACTGTACCTGACCAGTGCAGCAAATGGATCTTGGTGATTAACTGGTGGAATGCTCCTGGGGTAGCAAGTGATTGGAAAGCCTTTTTTACCCCCTCTCCTCCTGCACCTGTGTTCCTCTGCTCTCCTAAGCCCTTGATTGCCATAGTCAGGCCCCTTCCCTTCCCTTCCCAGATGGATGTAGCATGTGAGTACAGCCCAGAATGATGGGGTAAGGGTGCCCAGATAACTAGGTAAATGGCTTGGGGACCTGTGGGAGTGGCCTGAGAGGCTCTGGTTCCTGATCCATGACCTTGTCCCTTGTCCTTGCAAGAGGAAGCTGCAGCTGTCTCTGATTCAGACTAGGTCTGGGGAGTGTGTGTGTGTGTGTGTGTGTGTGTTCAGTGAAGCTGCCACTGGCTGAGACCAGGGTCTGGTGTGTGTGGTGCAGCTGCCTCTGGCCAGGGTCTGGGTGTGTGTGTGTGTGTGTGTGTGTGTTCAGTGCAGCTGCCTCTGGTTGAAATGGGGAGTGTGTGTGTGTTGAAGTTGCTTCACCTTGAGAACATGGTGGTGGGTGACAGCCTCTTCTGTTTGGAGGGTGTCCACAGAAACCTCTGGCGGGGGAGGGGGAGAGACACTCAAGAACATCTCTATATGGCTGTATCCTGGGAGGAGCTGGGGTACCTTTGGTGCCCTGTCTTCGGAACTTTATCTTGGGGGCCAAAACCTGTGGTGTCCTTGGTTCTTGTTCCCTCCTACTGTGTATCTGTCTGCTCTTGTAGAATGTATCCAAACTAGTCAGGGATGTCTTCTGGGGCCTGAGGTGCCATCTACTGAGCCGACATTGTTTGTTTGTTTTTTTGGTTTTTCGAGACAAGAGTTTTTCTGTTAACAGTCTTGGTTGTTCTGGAACTTGCTTTGTAGACCAGGCTGGCCTGGAACTCACAGAGATCCACCTCTGCCCCCCAAGTGCTAGGATTAAAGGTGTGTACCACCACTGCCAGGCTTTGTTATTGCTTTTGAACACTATTTGTTTATGTAGGGCTGGGGTCTGAACCTAAGGTCTTAATACACTGAGCTACTGGCACCCTCAGCCCTGTTTTTACTTTCTATTTTGAGACAAGAATCTCACTAAGTTACCCAGGCTGTCCTTCAACTCTGTAGCCCACGTGGGCCCTGAACTTGGGATCTTCCTGCCTCAGCTTCCCCAGTAACTGGAATAACAGTCCTGTACCACACACCCAGCTTCCTGTCACTCTTCTCTCTCTGTTCTTCCTTGATCTGATCCCTGCCTTCTAGTATCAGCCCAGCAACCAGAGAATGTATTTTTTTTTTTTTCGAGACAGGGTTTCTCCGTAGCTTTTGGTTCCTGTCCTGGAACTAGCTCTCGTAGACCAGGCTGGCCTTGAACTCACAGAGATCCACCTGCCTCTGCCTCCCGAGTGCTGGGATTAAAGGCATGCGCCACCACTGCCCGGCCAGAGAATGTATTTTTGATTTTTATTCTTTTGTAATTCTGGGATTAGAATCCAGGGCCTGACAGCTGTTAGGCAAGCTTTTCCTCACAGAACTCCAATTCCAGCCCAGAGAAATCCTATTAAGAGACACCAGACCCAGTACTTGGGAGGCAGAGGCAGGCAGAACTTTATTGAGTTTGAGGCCAGCCTGGTCTACAAAGCGAGCTCCAGGACAGCCAGGAAAACCCTGTCCTGGGAAAAAAAAGAGGGAATATAGAGATAGAGAACAGACCCTGCCTTTCCTCTGTTCCCCAGTAGAGAGAGAGACCGACCGAGACACCAAGACCAGACCCTGCCTTCCTTCTGCTTAGCACCCTTCAGTGACTCTCCAGTCATCCTGTTTAACCAACTGTGGAGCATCTAGCCCTGCTCTCTCTCTGCCCTCTCTTCTCTCCAGTCACAGGGACTCCTCAGGCATCTTTTCCCTGACCCCTGTACTTCTTGTACCCAATTTCTGCTCCCACCTCACAGCGCTTAACTTTTCTCATACGTACGTGAAAGAGTTTACTTCTTTGTTGAGTGTGTGACTCTAATCTTAGTATCTGAGACTGTCTGGTGCGCAGTAATTACTTGTTGCATGAGCAGATGACCTAAAACCCTAGAATAGCTTTCAAACTTCCTCGAAGCTTCTCTCTGAGACATTCAGGATAAAATGCTATTCTGTGCTTTGTATATTTGGTTTTGCAATAGTCCAGTGAGATCATGTTCATCTGTTTTCCCCTAGGCCTGGGGCCTCACATCCAGTAGGCTCAATCAACATTTGAACAAATAAATAAAACTAAGTAAAATGTATTCATTTATTTACAGACGAGGTCTTCTGTATAATGATGGTCTGGAACTTGATGTGTAGATCAGGTTGGTCTCTATCTTCTAATTGTTGGGATTGAAGGTGTATGCCACCATGCCTGGCTTTTTGTGGTTTTGTTTTGAGACAGAATCTTGCTTTGTATCTCAGGCTAGCCTGGAATTTACTGTCTTCTTGCCTTAGCTTCTTGAGTACTGGGATTATAGGCTAGTGC